TATGTTTAAAGCACTTGCTGCTTCCTGTACAACGGCAAATCTGACTATATTGAGTCTGAAATTTCTAGAGTATTATTTCAAAAACTGTGATGATATTCAACCAATGCCGTCTATTAAACGTTTCTTCGACCATATTGTCGAAATTGTATTCAAACATATATTCAAACGAATGAAGCCAAAAAAGGTTGGTTTGAGAAAATTTCTAAGACTAAAAATGGTCCTATGGGTTGCAAATACGAGGAGCAAAAATATCCAGAATCGATTGTAAAAGCACTATCAGCATTATCTTTTAGTTGTGTGAATAGCAAGAATGGTTGCCTTGATCCAATTCCATATAATGCACTTTATGATCATGAACGTTATTGTGGCTTTCGGCTCAAAAATTGTAGCGGTCGTAAGAAAGAAATGATAGAAAAAGAAATTAAAGATCATGAAGCTATTTGTGGTTTTGTCAAGCTCTATTGTAACATATGCGAAACATATTATCAACGGCAACATGGGCATGATAAACTGGATTGTGTCTTAGGAAGACAAGAACATGCACAGAATGAATTTAAAAAATGCAAAGAAGAATACCGTCAACTGGAAGCTGAAATGCAAAACAAAAGAAGGCATTAGATGAGATAACCGAAAGTCTGGAGAAACATAAAAACTAATTGACGAGAATAGGAGAAACTGTTGAAACGTATGGAAGACAATTGAAGCAAAGTCATGAAGCGCAAGAACAGACACAAGGATAAAATGGTGCTTGATTGATATTGAAGATAGTAGCATGATCCAAACACCCATATCTGTTGCACACTTCATCATTAACCTACTTATTATTCTGAATTTATCTTGCCATAATCGATTGAAATAGACAAATCTAATCGGTCTGTGGTGTAAACTTTTTCCTGCTTTATTCATCAATATTTTTTCATAACTAGGAGTTTAGTTAAATGAAGTACTAAATTCTTTTCTTAGTTATTCTGTGTTTGTAGTTTAACCTGTTTAAAAGATCAAACGGAGTAGGTGTACTAATTCTCACCAAAAGGGTATATTATAGAGTAACCTAGTAAGCTATATCGTATTAATTTCAACTTTTGGTAGAACCTCTAAGTAACTTATATTCTTTTTACTCTTTCTTCTCTTGCGGACAAGCAACCAAACAAACAGACATTTGATTTTATACGACACTTCTTTTAGCGGAGGGAATAATCTGGGGGAATAATAATCATCCGAAGGTTGTTTGAATGCTTGGGATTTTGCTGGATAAAAGAGTCTATGTTCATATTCATATATGTGTATGTTTGGGATTTAGAAGAGGTGGGTGGATGGCAAGGAGCATAAGCGTGAATTACCAAATACTATTTCAGAACCGTTTTCAGAAATTAGAGCATTATCGCAAGTGGATATTCTTTCGCAAATACTCATTCTTCAACATAAAAAGCGATTCCGTTTCCATGATCATAAGTAAGCTGAAGATAGCCCAAGCATAAAAAAATAAGCTGGTAGTGCTTCCGCTGCAGCTAGCTACACTAGTCTCATAACCCGCTGCAACTAGCTATAAAAAAAATGCAAAAATACTGAAGCGGATTAGTGGGCGTTAGATAAACGTACACAGCATGAACAAATGAACAGCTTCAGCTAGTAACAAATTGTCTAATACGATTTTCAACTTGGCAATCGCATACAGTAACTAGGTTTTCCATGAAGGGAGCGTCAAGCTCCGTAGTAGTTAGTGAATATAAAGTCCCATGCTCTATTACTACGGCTGTGAAAATTCGAGATAAAGCGTGTGCGCGAAGAGTGTACTTTTATTGAATGATGAAAAACAAAAAGTGTATAACAAATCTGTATATCTAGCACAGTCCAAAACTAGACTGACGCGAAAAAGAAAATCAAGGCAAACTGGAGAGAAAACGGGATACGAACGAAGAAAAAATTACGCTATGCATCATAGCTAAGGATGGCGGCGTGCTCATTTTACTAACCTCAGTCGGTCAAAATACCACTACAGAAAAATTTTTCTTTTTTTTCTTAACATTTATTAGCTCAAATTTAAATTATTTCTTACGAATCGATAGAGGACACAGAGTCAACTTCAATATGTGCTTCTTTTGTCTACTAACTTAACAGGTACTAACCATGCGACACTTCTCAGTGAGATATTCCCAAGCGAGCTGGTCCATAATTGCTGGTCGTTGTACAAGTATAAGAGCCGCATCGATGTCATCCAGTGTTAAAGTTTCGGACGCGATCGGATCTTGATCTTCAGAGAAATTGCCCAACATACTTTCTATTTTTGGAAGCTCTTTGATATGACCCATTAATTTCTGTTCAGCAATAAACTGACGTGAGCCATGTTTAGTCTTTCCGTAGTCCATTCAGTGCTCTTGAAGTAGTTACAGGAACATACATAATATCAAGTATGCACAAGAAGAAAACATGGTTACATCCAGATATTCATATTATAAATATCTTGCCAAGTATTCCTATTGATTTGCTTAGTCTTCGCTACAATTGCATAATGCAGTAAATTCTTCCGTTGACTCTCACCCAAAGTTTTCTTATAACTTTCAAATAAAATTCCTTTCGTCATTCGTAATGTCAAATGAGATAGTCTTGGAAAATAATTTCGTAAGTCTTTTAGAAAGTGTGTCAATGTGTCTTGATATTTGCTTGTGAATTCATTATCACATGGAAATTTAAGTGTTTGTAGATTGGAAAATATCTCTGATAATTCAGAGAAAAATGTTGCATGATAACTTGGTGGTTCATATGAATAATAGACTTCCAAAGCATGTGGCTGTGTATCAACATTGAAATGTCTGATTTGACTTGAATGTTTCGAGGAAAAGAGAGGTTTTAGTTGCCGAATTATCTTTTTTGTGTTTTTACTGAAGACATGCACAGTGACGAGATTCGGCGATCCAGCTAGAAGTTTTGAGAGAAATTGCTGACATTCGTTAGAAGACTTGTCATCTGCATTTGGACAAGCGAATGCTTTTCGTCTTTGAACGTGTCCTGCAGTAGTACGTTGAGTTACAAAATTAAAATATAATTTTCTCATGTTTACACGTTTAGTGTTGTCGTTTTGTATTTCACATTTCACTGGTAGACTTTCAAGAAGGTTGTCGGTGTAGATCTTAAGTGAATTACACTCGAGAAGCTCTTCTAACGTGCTATTATTATCGAGATCCAAATCAATCAGATCTGGTGTTTCTGATGATGATTCGAGCGGCAAAGGTGCCGTTTTACGAAGTTGAGGAAAAGTGAAGATCAAATAACTGCCATCAAAATGTTGTTCAACATTATTTGGCGAAAAGCGTGAGTCTGGCTGGTGACGGGTACGAATGTAGTATTGAAATGTTTGAAGATGAGAAAATTTGCTTTGGATGGGTTGTGAACTGGTCATGCCATGCTCTAGTTCTCGCCCGATTCAGAATGGACGTCATTTTTAATTTTTCCTCCTCTCTGATTCTCTACCGCACTGAACGTGCTGTAAAAAATATTTCCAGTATTCCTATGTGTGAAATTTTTGTATCAGTTGTCAAAGAAGGTTTGGTTTTAATCATGTGTCTGATATGAGAAAAGCGCTTGCGAAAACTATAAAGCGGAGGTCAGTAGCAGATGGGCCCTTTTTGCTCTAGCAAAAAAAATTCAACTAGTTTTTTATTGAAACATGCGGGAATTAGATGATTAAGGAAATCAAACCCATAGTGCTCAAACAGAATATTTTTTAGCCAAGTGGCTCCAGTTGAAATGCTCGGATAAATCCAAGCTTTTCTGACTCAAAACAGTCGTGCTCAGACTGACTGCAAATGACCCTAGAGAGATGTTGCTCTTGATTTGGATTTTCCATTCATCTTTATTAATTAAAATAATAATTAGTGGATTTATTATGCTACTTATAACCTTTTGAATTGGTTTGAAAAAATGCCAGAGGTAAAAAGAAGATCTACATCTCAAAGAAATGCTGAGAGGGCATTGAGAATTAGACAAAAGAAGAACTAATGATGAGTTCCGCTTGTTAGACAATAGACGACGAGCAAATTTTCACAGAATTGTTTTTAGATAGTTTGATCAAAATCAATCTGTCGTCAATTATTTTTATTTTTTCAAGTACACATAACACTCGGATTTCAATTCGAGGTTTCTACATTTATTTATTTTTGTCGCCAGAAAAGCTGAACGCTTTTCCACCCAATGAGTGATTTGGCATTTTCCCTGACGGATTTTGTAGCGGTTTTTTTTGGCGTAAGGGTCGGCTAGAAGCTTCTACATTTTCATTATAGCGAATTAGAGTTTTTTATTGAAAAACATGTTTCTTTTTGTACCGCAGTTTTGTAGTTTGTTTTATGTTAAAAAATTTTCTAATTTGTTTGCTCGTAGGAACAACATTCTGTAGTGAGTTTCTATTCTAAAGACGCGTTATGTACCTCAAAAAAAGGCTCACGATTCACGATCTATTTTGATAATTGATGTTATTTAGAAGAACACAGTTTTCGTATAAAAAAAAAGACCGCAAATTTTGCGCTTAATGTCACAGGCTTGCACATCACTCGAAAAAGAGTCGAGTTATTTTAAAACTCGAGAAACGTAACGGGTGCTTAAATTCCAACCGATTTAAATCCAACTATAACGAAAAAATCTAGCTGCCAACGCGTCCTTTATAAAAGCTTAAAAGGAAAGTCGTGTATGTGCGGTTTGTAGTGGATATTTTCGTAACAGTTGAATTCAAATGGGTTCGAAATTAATTACCCATTACTTTTATCTAAAACCGTATAAAAATGCATGTAAAAATAAACTAAAAACAACTCATAGATAGAACGAACCTCAGACTTTGCGGGAGGCTTGCTCCTCCTTTCTAATCATCCGACTTTGCCAATTTCCTCCCCTTCTTTTTAGCAGACATTCTTTATCAATCGGACCTTACTAGGCTATGTAATTGGTAAAAGTTCGAGAATTCTATTGTAGCATTGATAACAGTTAGAGTTAGTGTTTGAATTTGAGTCGTCTTGAATACATCAATGAACTTTCTAAGCGCATTGAAACTCCAATCATAACAATATGGAAGTTCTATCTGTAGTTTCTGTAATCTTCTCGTAACGGCTTCTAGTTGTAAACCTTCAGAGGAGAAAGAGTCTGATATAAGTAAATTTAAGTCTTCAATATTGGGCATCAGGTTCAAAAATGTCTCCAGCACATTCACAGTCGACACATGAATGAAGAAACGTTTAATAGACGGCATTGGTTGAATATCATCACAGTTTTTGAAATAATACTCTAGAAATTTCAGACTCAATATAGTCAGATTTGCCGTTGTACAGGAAGCAGCAAGTGCTTTAAACATA